AGGGCATCAGCCACTTGCACCTTCTAGTGGTCAAAGAGTATGAGATGCCCCTGTATCGCAAGTACTGGCCCAACCACATCATGCTGGTGCTTCCCGGCATGTTCAATAATGCAGGCGTGGGTGAGTCCCCTTGGCCTCCGTCCTGGGTAGGGAGAAGGGCTAAAAGATAAACCAAGGTCCACTCCCTGGGTGTGCAACTTTCAAAGGTTTCCCTGCCTCTGGGAAGTGCCCTGCTCTCCTCACCGAAGGACTTTTGACTCCTCTTTAAATGTTTATTTTCTCTTTATCTGAAGTTTTGCAGAACTTTTAACTACTAGTAACTAAAGAAGGCACTGGTATACTGAGACCCTGGGGAAGTGTAGGTTCCTGGGCTGGACTTGCCAGCAGCAGCAATGTAACAGTGCAAAGAATGGTTGGAGGAGGTGGAGAGATAATAACTCACTCCAGGCTAGAGGCAGCTGGTGGGGTCTCTGAGATATCACTAATCATGACAGGTGCCTTTAGATATCACTAAAGGCACATGACAAGTTCTAGGAATTTCTACACAATGGGGTATTTGAAGCATCCTTACTGCCTGTGACAGTCATCTTAAAAGTGCCTGGAAGAAGTCCCTCCTGCTTTTCCCCACAGGGTTTAAGAGCAATGGACTGATTGCTCCAAGGGGAGCACACACCCTTGGATTGCTCCAAGGGTGTAGCACAGTGCTGTGCAGTCACTTCTTATATGGTAGTTCTTAACCATGTTTCCCACCCACTTCTGTGCGAGTCTGACTCACTACAGTGTCAGAAAGGGAGGATCAAGATATGTTAATGGACACTTGAGACTGTTGGAGGGAAGTAAGAACACCAGCCTGGAGCTGGAGGGAACAGCTGGGAAGTCTCCCCAAGTCCCCGAGGTCCTCCTCTCACTTGCCATTCTTTTCCCACTTCACTTCCATCCCTCCCTTTCTCTATTCATCTCTAAAGAGAGGTCTCTTCATTTCCTGTTCTCCTTTCCACCCCTTTCCAAGTCCTTAAACCTCCGCCTTAATATGGGATTAAAGTATTTTTAAAAACTAGCTTATTATTTTGATGCAGTTGTATTTTCTATCACTTAATACCAAGTGAGTTAAGACTTTAACATACTTCTGGTCCTTTATTCTCCCCCAAACTAACTAAAAAATATATGTTTTTTTATGAACATGACCTTGCTGTGTCTTACTAACATTTAGGTAGAAGTTTCCTCATCCCAGATCAGCCTGAATTTGTTTAGTGCCAGTTTTGCCAGTTTTGAAAATTTGCAGAGAGTGAAACCAACATATATTCAAATTAAATAAATGTTTAAAATATTTTACTTGTGGTAAGAAACACATAGCTTACCATCTCAGCCATTTGTAAGTGTCCAGATTGTTAGGGTGGTTGGTGATATGGGCTGTGAAAGAACTGACAAAGCTAAGAAAGTGGAGAGAGTAAAGAATTTTACTCACCCTCTGAGAAAGGAGAGGGGCAGGTTGTGGAGAGAGACACCAGCACTGAGGAGTGGGGGCTTTGAGATTTTTTTTGGATTATAACTGGATTTAAAAAGGGTGGGGGGTTGCTGCTCTATGGCCCCAGGGCTTTTCAGGCTAACAGGAGGCTGCCCTTACGGTTAGTTATGTTCTTGCTTCCTGTAATTTCCAGTCCTGGGGACAGATGCTCAGAAGAGGAAAATGGCAGTCGTATTTAACAAGGTCACAGGCCTGCTAACCAAATGGTGCCACAATAGCAAATGGGGCTGGCTTGGTCCTTTCATTCCCTCCTCTGGTTTTAAAATGGATTTCTTCCTCATGACCTGGCCCAGTTCTGGTTTGGGGGAGTAGGGACACAGTTCTCTTCTCTGTAACTGCTTCAGGGGGGCTAGGGCTGAGGAGCTGTCCCTGCCTGTAGGTCTGGGTGTGGCGCCTTATGGAGAAGAGGGTGAAATTGGATAGCCCCAAAGTGAGAGCTGCGGCTGGAGGCCAGTGGTGGAGAGAATCGTCCAGAGCCTGGAGACTCTGTTGAATGAAGGATGTGAGGTATTTGAGGAGACATGGCCTAAAAATGAAAATAAAGAAAAAGGCTGCTATAGATCCTAGGGAGGGAATTAGCCAGGCAAACTTAAAACTGGTTTTTATATCAAATATTTTGTGTAGAACACAGGGTCCTGTTTAATTTATGTAAGTACTTAATATTTTTAGTCCAATAGAATATTACTAGTTATGCCATCAGAAGCAGAAAATATACCACATGTAATACAGACAAATGCATATCACATAAAGACCACATACAAAAATGAACACATAAAGACCATACATGTAATTTGAATTACTAATTTTTGTAGAGAAAGTATAAGATTTCTCTTCTTTGCTTTTAACAACTTTCAAGAAGACTGGAAAGGGGATGGAAGGTCCTAAATACCAAGTAAGGAAACTTGTGGAAACTCTCAGTAAAAGCTTTAAGGACTAGTCTAGCAGCAGGGAAGAGCCTGGGTGTGGCTACTGTGGCCCCTGAAAGGTCAGAAGCCTGGTAACGGAAGATATATATACTCCAGATGGAGGATCAGGAATTATAGTCCACACCAGCAGAGAAACAGAAAGAGATAGATGTGTTTACCTGTGCCCGAAGGTGACCTTACCAACGACAAGAGCTTCACCCAGATGCCCTGGGAATGGGTTTAACCCACTTAGACAGGGGACTCAGTAGAAAACCAATCTGAGAGAGCCACACAGGGAGACAGAAAGCATGTTTGAGAGAGAAAGCCTGTTTGACCCATGGATGTGGTTACCCCATACCCTCAGGGTGGCCTTACCAATGACCCGAGCACCAAACAAAGGGGAAATACGGGAGTGATTGGTTCCTGACTCACTGCACCTCATATCCCAGGTGTCACCTGGGGTCATTGTGTAGGGTGACTCCATGTCCAGAGGGCAGCCTTACCTTCTGTGCCAGCATTGACAAAATGCATTTTGCTGAAGGATTTATCCCACAGCTGGTAGGTAGGTTTCCCGACACCGACAAGGGCAAGAGAAAGTGTAATAAACACAACTCCAGGTACAGCTAGAGTCATCACAGAATACCATAAAGAAATTAGGTGGAAGAAGGGGTACCGGAGCCTAAGGTTTCTTTCTTCACAAATGTAAAACTTTCACAAACTTCACAAACCTTTCTGCAACTTTCACAAGCTTTCTTAACCCTTTAGAAATAACCATCTTTAGAATAACTTACTTTCAACCCATGTCCTTTAAAATTGCATTTCCATGCCTTATATCTTCTATTATTAAAACTATACAATTTCTTTCCAACTGGATATGAACTGAACTTTTAGAAACTTTAGTTTCCCCTAATAATTAGAAGGTAAGCAACAGCAGTCCCTGGATTGATTTATGAACACGTGCCCGTGAGAAACAGGTCCCTCTGCCAGCAAACACTCACTTTAAGAAACACACCCAGCGCCCCAAATCTGCCCTGCAGCCTTTGTGACGAAAGCCAAAAGCAGGTCTAGCAATCTGTGTTTCGGTATTTCATATTATTTCAAAATACCTAGATATTCAATGACTTTTATCAGAATTTACTAATTTACAAAGGAACAGATATAGCTAACATTTTCCCCCTTTCGATAAGAATTATCTCCCCCAAATTTGTATTTTAAAAGATGGCCTAGACACGCGTTCTTGAAGAAGACCATGTGTTTGCCTTTCAAAAAGGTAGGGAAAGGAAAGGCAAGCTTCTCCCAAGAGGACTTTGGTTTCGTCAGGCAAAGGGGCAGAAAAGCAGCGTGAGTTTAAAATGCCACTTTTTTCTCTGCAGTGAGAGGCAGGCCCAATTTTTTCCAGGATTTAGCAGCCCCCACCCCCAGTCTCCAGAGGAGGAGAATGCAAAGTGTTTTACAAGGGAAGGGAGTGAGATTTTCTCCCTCCTTGTACCCTTTTTGTTACTTAATGTGGGCCCAGTGGAGCCGAGCCTAATTCCAAACTGGAGTTGAATGCAGGACTGGGGTTAAGCAGGTAAGGAATAGCGTCACCCCTGCTGAGTAATATTGATTAGAAGAGCACGGCCTTTAAGGGATTAGCGTGCTGCTCAGCTGGAAGCAAACATGGGGAGTGGGGGGTGGTGGAGAGGCGAATTTGAGTGAAAAGCCATAGTTAGGAGAACCCCAGCTGAAGGTTAAAATCTTGTCTCCTCTCGGTAACTAAACCCAGGGAGGGGGTCGAGATGGCGACAGTATTGTAGTTAACCCGGACTGCCTGGTCACCCAGTGTGTACTGAGGCCAGGCCGGGTTGCTATGGAAAATAAAACATTTGGTCTTGAGATCAGTAAGTCCCAGAGCCTTCAAGTTCTTCAGTAGACAACCCAATGGGGAGTCCTTAGGGGAGGGTATTGCCCATGGTGAGAAGTATGAAAAAGAACAGGGAAGGGTATCTCAGGGAAGACAACAGTGTGGGGCGCGGGGAAGGTCTGAGGAGAGCGTCACCAATTCAAGGACCTAGGGGTCGGCGGCCAGAGCCGAGCGTCCTCAGGCCTGAGGGCAGGCCGAACACGAGGTTCTCCCTCAGAGCCAGGCCTCCCTGGGCCCCGAAAACAGACCGAACCGGCAGGGCGTTGGTTAGAGGCGTCCTTCCCAGCCTAACCCTGCGAAAGTGATAGACCCAGTACCGGGGTCACCACGGTGGGACGTGGGGATGAGCTATCACTTTCCACAGGAAGTTTTCATCCCGCGACCCAGAGACTTACGGATCGCTGGCTGTGAAGATGGGTGAGCAGGAGGCTGTCCGCAGGGTCCCAGAGACGGAGAAGGTTTAGAATCCTCTCTTCGAACCTCACAGAGACAGGGTTCAAGGCGAAGACCGGCTCTAGCTTCCGCTGCCCACTGCTCCCTAAGTCGCAAGTCTCAGGAGGACAGAGGAGAGGGAGAAATAGAAAACATTCGCCTATGTGGCACCAAAATGTTACGGTGGTCAGTGATGCGGCCTGTGAATGAACTCACAGAGAGAAGAAAGTGTAGACAGTAAAGTTTTTATTCGCTGTCCAAGAAAGGAAAAGGGTGTGGAGAGAGACACCAGCATTGAGGGGTTGGAGCTTGGAGCTTCCATTGGATTATAATTGGATTTAAAAAGGGCGGGGGTTTCTGTTTGTGGCCACTGGGCTGCTGGGGCTTTGTAACAGGAGGTTGCCCTTTGTTCCAACGTTATCTTCGCCCATGGCTGTAGGGAGAGGTTAGTTCTGTTCTTGCAGTAATTTCCGGGCCTGGAGACAAGCTCAGAAGAGGAAAATGGTAGCCGTGTTTAACAAGGTCACAGGCCTGCTCAGCAAATGATGCCGCAATACAAATGGGTCTGGCTCTGTCCTTTCACAGATCAGCAGTGTTCGATAGACTCACACTGTTGTTCAACCAATCTCCAGAACTCTCTCTTCATCTAGCAAAAGTTAATCTCAGTACCACTTACTCCTTTTGAAGGCTGAATAATATTCCATTGTATATCACACATCTTCTTGATCCATTCATCCATCAATGGACATGTGGACTGACCCTCACCTTTTGCCTATTGTGAATATGCTGCTATGAACAAGGGTGTACAAATACCTTTTCAAGACTATTTTTAATACTTTTGGATATACCCTGAAGTGGAATTGCTGAATCATATAAAAATTCCATCTTTAATTTTTTTAAGGAATTAGCATACTGTTTCCATAAAGGCTGTATAATTTTATATTCCTACCAATAGTGCAAAATGATTCCAGGTTTTTCATATCCGCACCAACATTTTTTTTTATAACAGCCATTCTAATGGGCGTCAGGTATATCTTACTAGGATATGATTTGCACTTCCCTAAGGATTAGTGATGTTATGTATCTTTTCAGGTGCATTTTGGCCTTTTGTGTATTTTCTTTGGAGAATCTATTCAAGTGCTTTGCCTACTTTTTAATCAGGTTTTTTTTTATTGTTGACTTGTTCTTTATATATTCTAAATATTAACCCCTCATCAGATACATGGTTTGTAAATATTTTCTCCCAATTTATAGGTTGTCTTTTCATGGTTGTGTCCTTTGCACTGAAGTTTCAAATTTTTACATAGTCTGGTTTTCTGTTTTTTCTTTTCTTGCCTGTGTTTTTGGTGTCACAGCCAAGGAATCACTGCCAGGTCCAATGTCACAAGCTTTTCCTCTGTTTTCTTCTAAGAGTTTTATAGATTTGGCTCTTGCAGTTAGATCTTTGATCCATTTTTTAAAAGATTTTATTTATTCATATTCAGAGAGAAGGGAAGAGAGGGAGAAAGAGCAACATCACTGAGCTACACCAACCAAGGCCACTTTAATTTTTTTATATAATGTAAGGAAAAGTCCAACTTCATTTTTCTGCATGTGGATATCCAGCTTCCCAAAAACATTTGTGGAAGAGATTGTTCTTTTCACACTGATGCTTTTGTCAAAAATAATTTGACCATATATGCAAGAATATAATGCCGGGCTCAGCAGTTTTATTCCATTTGTTTATATGTCTGTCTTCATGTCACTATCACATTGATTTCATTACCGTGGTTTTGTAATACGTTTAAAATCAGCAAGAGACCTCCAACTTTGTTCTTTTTCAAGGTTGTTTTGGCTATTCAGGGTCCCTTGAGATTCCATATAAATTTAAAGATGAGCTTTCCTAGTTCTGAAAAAAAAACCAATTGAGATTTCAATAGGGATTTTATTAAATCTGTAGGTTGCTTTGGGTAATATTGACATATTAACAAGATTATGTCTTCCTCCCTGGCTGGTGTAGCTCAGTAGATTGAGTGCAGGCCTGCAAACCAGAGGACTGCTGGTTCTACTCCCAGTCAGGGTACCTGCCTGGGTTGCAGGCCAGGTCCCCAATAGGGGGTGTGCAGGAGGCAACCACACATTGATGTTTCTTTCCCTCTCTTTCTCCCTCCCTTCCCCTCTCCCTAAAAATAAATAAATCTTAAAAAACACACTCACAATATTACATCTTCCAATCGATGAATATAGGATGTCTTTCCATCTATTTTCATCTTCATTACCCTATTCTTCAGACCATAAGGTACCCCTAGGTTTTAGAGGAGGAAAATAGGAAAAAAATTTTGAAGCAAAAAATGTGGTAAAATACTTAATAACATAAATAACGTAATATTTCACCAATGTAAGTGTAAACAGAACTCAACAGCAGCATCAACAACCATTATTCCTCCCAAATTGGTGTGGGGAGTGTACCTTATAGTCTGAAAAATATAGTAATTTCTTTCTGCAATGTCAATAGTTAAACATTTATTTTAATAACCTTTTTCCTTTTGATCTGTTGTAAATGTAATTTTCTTAATTTCTCTTTTAGATTGATATAGAAACACAACTGACTTTTGAGTGGTTTTGTATCTGCTGACTCACTTTACTTCTAACAGCTTCGTGTATGTGGTATCTTTAGGGTTTTCTACATAGAAGATCATGCTGCCTGCAGAGATACTTTTACTTCTTCCTTTCTAACTTGGGTACCATTTATTTCTTTTTTCCTAATTGCTCTATGATTTCCAGGACCATGTTAAATGGAAGTGATAACAGTGGGCATCCTTGTCTTATCCTTTTTTTAAAAAAGCTTTTATTTTTAGAGAGAGGGAGAGAAGTATTAATGTGTGGTTGCTTTTTGCATGCCCCCTACCACCACTGGGGACCTGGCCTGCAACCCAGGCATGTACTCTGACTGGGAGTCGAACCTGCAACCCTTTGGTTCACAGGCCAGCACGCAATCCACTGAACCACACCAGTCAGGTGTGAATCCTGACTCCTTGCAGCCCTGATTCCTTGTCTCATTCCTGATCTTGGAGGAAAAGCTTTCAGTCTTTCACCACTGCGTGTGATGTTACCTATGGGCTTTTAATATATGATCCTTGCTATATGTTGAGAATGTAAACTATTACACTTATGCTCTCAGAAGGTAGATTTTTCCTAAATCCTATTATTACCCTTGATCTATTCAAACTGTTTTCATGGTTCCTTCATAGGCTTAATAGTTTTATTAGCCTCTTTATTTCATTATCTACATTTTGTTTTCATTTTAGGGTGGCCCACCCATAAAATTGGGCTAATGCCTTGTGATAATCATCTTAATTACTAACATTCATTGAGTACTTAGCACATGGGAGGCACTACCCAACACTGTGCCATTTGATGAAGTAGATGTTACCATTTCCATCTTACAGGTGAAAGAGCCAAGGTACAGCTAGAGGTGTCACAGCTAGAAAGTGCTGGAATCAGGACTCAAACCTAGGCAGCTTGGCTCCAGTCTTTTCTATTACTCACTATACCAGAGCCTCTTGCCAAAAAAAAAAAAAAAAAGGCAGACCTAGGGAAAGGATGCCAGTGTCCAGAATCATTTTCAGAGACTGTGCTGCTGCCACTTTCCTAAAAGGGACAGCTTAGTGTGAGTGGCATACCCACTTATTGCAGCCCTGGCTCCTCCTCCCTAGTGAGAGGCTACTTCTGAGACTGAGAGAGCTTCGTATTATGGCTTTAAGGAACTAACCAGTAATAGGAGTTCCCTGCATCTGGAATCCTTTGTCCTCTCAAGGAAACTGGATTCTTGCAGTGTTCCTCAAAGTGTAGTTCAGGAATCATCTGTATTCCCAAAGACATCTCTGGCTTCTGTCCCCTCATCAGACCTACTAAAGTGAATCTCTGGTGAAGGACTTCCTCCTCTACACTAAAGTGTGCCCTGAACAGTTCATTGACACTGGTCGCCATGTGAACAGGCACGCCTGCAGGGAGAGAGGGTGGGGCTGTCTGTGGGGCTGCAGCAAGCCTGAGTGAGGGATGTGCAGCTGTGGGTATGTTGCCTTCCAGGTGCTGCTAGGTTTCTCATTAAGGAGCTGTCATATCACAACCTGGAACTGGAGAGGAACCGCCTGGAAGAACTGGGAATTAAACGCCAGTGTGTCTGGCCTTTCATTGTTGTGATGGATGACTCCTGTGTCCTGTGGAACATACACAGCGTTCAGGAGCAGAGCAGGTAGTGGTACTTTCCAAGCAGTTCTAGGGGACTATGGCACATGGTGTTGAGAAGGTACTTTCCTGGGCTGCATTTGTGCATGGAAATAAATGAGACCTGTAGCTTTCCAGAGCAGAAAGATCTTCCACGAGACCATCACTAGGACATTTTTTTTTTAATTTAGACATTCATGTGCCATTAAATTCCTGGACCATTTCTGGATCATAGTTTTGGTTAGCTATAAAAGTCTATTTAGCCCAGCTCTGCTATGTTACCTGGATGCAAAGGAAAAGTGATTTCACCTGTCTCAGTTGCATCACCTGTAAAATTATGGCTGGGCCAAAATCAGTGGTTTTCCTCCCGGGGCAGTGGTGAGAATTCAATGAGAAACAGGGAATACGAAAACTGGAAAATCACAACACTAGGAATGGCCCCAAAATGTCAATAATGCCCTCATTGAAACATGGAGCCAGATCTCCAGGCCCTTCCAACTTGACCATTGTGATTTTGTGTCCTTGTTTCCACTGTGGATTTAAAGCCAGCAAAGTTCTAATATATTTCTTTATTATACCATAATTACTAGGACTGGGACGTATACTTGTATTTTTCTAACTTCTGACTGCCTTTCTAGTAACTCCCTCCTAGTTATTCACTTTGAAACAAGGGTTGGATTTCTTTCCCAGCCTTAAAGTGATAAGTCCCAGCCCCAGAAGGCAGCTTCCTCAAGTAGGCAGTGTGGGCAACATGAAAACTGGGTCTGGCACACTCCTCCATTCCAGGCTAATAGGAAGTAAATACGCTAATTATACCTTACAGATATTAATACTGTATAGTAGTATTGGCCCTTCATAAGTGACCTGTCGTCAGTAATATTTATTGATATCTTCTATAAACTAACTTTACATTTCATAGCCAGCCCATAGAAGCAGGAGTTTCCAGTAAGAATGTGTCCTTGAAGAGTGTCTTACAGCACATTGAGGCGACACCCAAAATCATCCACTATGCAATCCTGGGTATACAGAAATGGAGCAGCAAGCTGACTTTACAGAGTCTGAAGGCCCCATTCTCTAGGTGCCATGTGCATGACTTCATCCTCCTCAACACAGACTTGACTCAGAATGTGCAGTATGACTTCAACAGGTAAGTCAGGCCTCCTGGGGACAAGTAATCCTAGTCATTGTTTCTGCCCAGCTCTATCCTCTGTAATGTCTTTTATTCCTGTTTCTGTCTTTATTTGTTTAAAGATCTTATTTGTTTGTTTTTAGAGAGGGGAAGAGAGGGAAGAGGGAGAGAAACATTAATGTGCTTCTCAAGTGCCCCCTACTGGGGACCTGGCCCACAACCCAGGCATGTGCCCTGACTGGGAATCAAACCAGCAACCCACTGGTTCACAGGCCAGCATTCAGTCCACTGAGCCACACTAGCCAGGGCCTGTTTCTGTCTTTAACTGAAAACTGAGATTCTCTGTATGGACAAGGAGAAAGTAGGGGAATCAGAAGGCCCAAAGTGTCCCTTCATCATTCTTCCAACTCAGACTTTTAAAAGGTTACAATATAAAGTGCTTAAAAACACATTTTGACTATCTCATCATTCAACAAAAAATAAAACAGGGACAAAAATGGTTGAATCGATACCAATCAATATGTGGACTTATAAACTCACTGAAGGTTAATTCTTCATTCATCCTCAAAACTCCAAAGGTATTCACTTTCCCAAGTGTTAGTAAGACCCTGAGGTCTGGATCCTCTAAAGCAGCGTTGTCAAACTCATTTTCACCAGGGGCACATCAACCTCGGGGTTGCCTTCAAAGGAACAAATGTAATTTTAGGACTGTATAAATGTAACTACTCCTTAACTAGGGGTAAGGAGCTTGGTGTTGCTGCTGGGTAGAAACAAGGTGCCGGGCCAGATAAAACAAAGTGGAGGGCTGGATTCGGCTCACGGACTTTGCGTTTGCCACCTGTGCTCTAGAGAAAAGCCAGTAGATGGGAATGAACAAGCTAATCTTGGCCTTGCCTCCTGAATAAATTATGTCCATGCCAGGGACCATAAAGTCCCTCCTATGTCAATCCCCAACCTTGTAGCTAGTAGAATACAAGGTTGTATTCTGTAACTATTTCATTTGTTTTAAATATGACAGATGCTTCATCCCTTTTGCAGCCAAGATTTAAAAACTGGGAGCACCTATGCACTCCTGTCTTGCAAGAACATACAGAATGTGCAGTCCAGTTCAGTTCAGGAATGCCTGTGGCCCTGTGCACAGCCCTGTGGGAAGTCTGGGACCAAAGTCACCTCACTCCTCCTTCATTTAATGGCTGTAATACCCAAATCAGTGGGCTCACACAGGCCAGTGTTAAGAGGGCCAGCTCCATGACAAGGCAAGGTTAATTCTGTTTGGCTGTCTCCTATCATCTTCCACACATTTATTTCTCTGTGTGTCATTATCATGGTTGAGATGTTACAGGTTGAGATGTGATTATGATTTAGGTATTTCTGTGAAGACATTGACTTTAACCTGAGAACAAACAGCAGTGGCCTGCTCATCTGCCGCTTTAATAACTTCAGTCTCATGAAGAAACACATTCAGGTTGGAGGGCAAAGGGACTTTATCATTAAACCAAAGATCATGGTAAGTTTGCAAGCTTGATTCTAATGTTGAGACTAAGACGATAATT